CATTCCTACCCTTGCGTTAAAGTCTCTGAAAAATATATGTGAAATGCATTTGCACTAATGAGATCATACAAAACAGCCATGGTAAAATATAGGAATCTCCACTTTTCTATCGTTGCGTTAAAGTCTCTGAAAAATATTTTTGATATATGTATACGCACTCACGGGACAATACAACACAGGAACGTTGTATAGTTTTCTAAGAATTTTTTCTCGATAAAATCGACTCTGGTGCTGCCGTTTAGTGCCACGACAATAAAAGGCACTAAACTGTCCTGAAAGACTTATGAACAAATGACCAGAAATTATAGATATAAGTCGAATTCTTAAAGATCAGGGCCGAATCAAAAACTTCTGATAGTTTCAATTTAAACCATAAAAGAAAGTAAGACTGCTGGAGTTCCTACAGGGACTAGGCGAGAGAATGATTCATTACCTACTTAAGTTAAGTTTAAACGAATAAATAAAAGCCAACAAGATGGGAAGCCTTAAACTGATACAGAATACAAAATGAGCAGAACAAGAAAAAAACGTAAAGAACTAAACCCAAGATATTGATAAAATATAAATATAAAATAATAAAGACGGGTCACGACCCGTCGATTATTATTTTTACGAAGTCTTGAAACAATAGCACACATACCGGAAAGTCAATGAACTACCTTTCCGATGGTGCTTGATAAATGATGATATTGAGCCAAGATCCTTGTATATTTTTGAGCAATCGCCCTTCGGCCCTTGTTATGCCTTCCCGGATGGCAAGTTCATGCCGTTAATAAAATTATGCTCTGGGTCCAGCAACTAATCTGATTCGTCCAGGATTAATCTCGATCAAACAGTTTCATTAATAATAATTGTGTCCGCATCTAACAGTAGAGGGATAGGAGCGAGTATCACGGGATTTATGGCTGCCGCAGCTCAGTTTGTTAGCCTCTTTTGCCAATTTTTTCGCTTGTCCTCTTCTTGCGTAGGAAGTGTACGCGAGCTTGGAGGGAAGTATACTGCAGCGCGTATGCAAATGAGCTGCAGGAGATTTATTCAAAGATTATGGAGCGATATCATGCGAAGCGAGTGTTTACTTTTATTGCCAATTTAAGAATTCGAGGAATCCTCCGCTCATAACCCGGCGCAGAAATACTCATCGATGAAAGTTACCTCGCCTCCGCCGCATATTAGTTTGAGGAATCCTTCCTGCTTTTGCCCGTTTTCTACGAACCTGGAATATATAGACCCTCCCACACTTCCTCAACCGAGGAACAGCACGCCAGTAAGACTAATAAAAAAGATATCTGGCCAAAATTTGTAATTAATGACCATCAAATTGTTTTGCGTTTATCAGCTTCGTTATAAACATGAATCAGTCCGGGGTTACCTCAGTGTACCTCACAACAGCTTGAATACTCCGGGGGTCCAGACCCTGAGATCCCCCCGGCCAGTTGGCCTCTTCTGATATGAAAATGTATAAATATGAAATTCTCGGAACTTCACTTTTATCTCGCGTGAATATGGTAATAATATTTATGTGCAGTTGTATTCGATGTAAGCACGGTTTCTCACCCAGCAAGTTGGGGTTTCAATTAGAAACACGTCTTCAAATAAGGTTTTAATTTTAGTCAGTTCATTTCACACCAGTCACTTCAAAAGAAGTATCCAGGTTTGCACCACAGTCTTCTTACACTCATTCAATCCAATTCTGAATAATTGTTTTAAAGCCAAGGTGTTTGTTATGAACAATCATTAAGAATCCTTATGTTTGTATGTTTGTGGTATTATTTTGTATTTGTTGGACGCTGGTGCCATCATTTATATTGACAAATGGTGACAATAGAAAAAGAATTTTTTTTTAACTTATTATATTATATTCAATCGGTTGCATGAAGTTCAAATGTTTAGTTTTGAAGATAGTTCCAGAAGCCAAAATTTTTAAGGCCAACAAAATTCCTTTACAACATCCAATAATAATGGTTTGTAACCAACACCTCGGCCAAACCTCTAAATCTCCGCACTTTTTATAGCGATGCCTAGCAAAATTTTTTTGTTTTCCACCCAGGTCGGAAAAAGGGCCGCATCTGCATAACAGTCGAACTTTAATTTTCTTTTGTTAAGTTTCTCTACATGATGAAATTTCTTTCGTGTAATTACCGTCTCGGTTTCTCTCCTTTACGCAACGCAAGGTCACGCTTGCGTCCGATTGTCTCTAACCTTTATGTTAAACACCAGGAAAGACGGAAAGCTATCTAGAACCGACCCCGGGTCAATAAATAACATAGGAGATGAAACGGTCCGTCTGAGGCTCGAATATCATCCGAAGGAGCACAGCCCTCTTTAAATTCATCGGATTTAACGCTCTGATTTATGGGGAGAGCCCGCCGAGAAACGACGTAGCCGCGGCTCAGTGGCGCGGCGTGAAATGCGATATATCGATTGTTATGCCATTTAAACCTATGGAAAAGGATCGATAGACAGGGTGTTCGGTGCGAACACCTTAATAATCGATTCTTTACCATAGGTTTAAATGGCAGAACAATCGATATATCGCAATTTACGCTACGCCACTGCCGCGGCTCCAGATTTCGCCTATGCTTTGAACTTTTTGTCGTGGTGCTCTAGTCCCGGGTCGCGGGTCCGCCATCTTCCGATCGGGTTTGCGTCGAGCCGAAATTACAGTGGCTACCGACGAGCCGACCAATCGAACCAACTAACAATTATATCCGCCTGAAAACAATAAATCAGAGAATTAATAATCTGTTATTAAGTTAAATATGTTTGATGGCTCACCTCGTTCGAGCACTGGCATCATTTCGCTACTCAAAGCCGCCCTCTCTCCCTCTCTCCTACTCTCGGTGCTCTCCTCTCATCTCTTCTCGCGCATGGAGAGTCTCCCCCCCCCCCCCCCCCCCCCCCCCCNAATTTCACTAATCGTTCGACCGAATATTTGCATGCCTCCATCGTTGCCCTCTTGTTTTTTCACCACATGGAAAAACATGGATTGCTTATTTAACAATTTTGTTGTGAAAAAAGAGACTGCAATTTTTCAGTGTAGATTCTACAAAAAAAATGTACATTTTACAATAGAGGAAAGCTAATTTTACCACCCTCGTGGTTAAATTAGCATTTTTTATTGTAAAATCTACATTGAAACCAAAAAATTCAATAAAATTATAAAATCGTCAAAAAACTGGACTACAGAACTCAGCCGTTTCTCCGTATCAATCGTATTCTCATTCAAACTTGCAAAGTTTGTCGGAATTTTCTCTTGAAATCGCACTGTTTCAAACAGATTTCCGTTCCTAATGAGCTCTTTGACAAATGTTTCTTCTTCTTCTACAACGAGTGACTAGGGCATAGCTCTGTTTATCAGGTCATATTTTATCGAGCACTTAATTCATAAATTTTATTCAAAAAAAAAAAAAAAAAAAATCAAAAATAAAAAAAAAATCATTAAATATGAAGGACTCGTCAAATTAAAGAAACAGCATTAAATTATTCAATCACTCTACGGAGAAGAGAGCCAGCTGTGTGCTCATCTCTTAGGTGGTCGTCCAAAAAATTGGAAATGGTTTCAATTTTGAAAAACGTATAGGTTAATTGATGTAAAGTTCCTTTCATGATTCCAATTTGGCAACTGCGCTCATGTCTTCCGATTACACATATCTGTGCACCCTGCGGAATTTAGTGGCAGCCACTCAAGAGCAAGACCACCGCATTCATTCTTTGCTCTCGGTACATTCGGGGCACTTGAATGATTATTAACTCCTTTTTTTCGCCGATAGTTTATCAGGAATTTCTCTGCCTTCCTGCCCGCTCGAATGTCTGGTCCCCGGGATTCTGGGCAATTATAACGAAATGTTTCGAATTTACCATTAATCAAAAAGAGTTTTTCTTAAATTATATCGCAGCCCACATGCCTCATCCGCTTTGAAGCTCACTCCGGCGGCTTTGCTAGACGTCTTATTTTTCTCGATGCTTCTTCCAACGAAATAATGCAGACGAATTTCCGCTCGTGGATCTGCCTCATGTCTTCAACCAGCTTTGGCAATGGAGAACCTGGCGACAAATAAACTCGAATTAAATTCAATCGCTACAGACTATCGGTTCCATGATTTTTTTTATTATTTTTTATTAATTTTTTTTTTTAATGGCGGGGGTAGCGTGTACATAAATCCACTTTTGCGCTCTTCGCACCTTGAGTATATTTTGTTTATTTCTTCGCTCCCTTATCTCGTCTTCGTGGTAGGAGATTTTTACGTGGAAAATTTACACCTCTGCACATACGCCTAGTGATCTAAAAAAAAAAAGAGACACCCGTAAAAAGAGCATATCGACGATGAAACTCCCAAACCTCGTATCTCATTTGCGGTGTTTAAAAATCTCCGCCCTTATAAATTTTTTCAAAGGAGGACAAATCAATATCATTCCTTGAAGTTTTCACAGAGTCCTTTTCGCACAGAGAAGAAAAATCAGGAGAGTTTACAAGAATTGACGTTGAGTAGTTTTCTTATTAAAAAATAAAATATGCTCGTAAGTCTGCATGCAACGTCGCAAACCGAGGTAGGGGATGTGGTAGTTCCACCGTCGATATGCCCTTTCATCGAGTGCCCCTTCTCCTTGACAATATTGTGTGTACAGTTGGACTAAATTTTGCAATAAGGAACCATTATTTCTAGCTCATTTTAGAAACAACATATACGCCATTAGATTCCTCATGCAGAAAGGTGCATTTAAGGAAGAGCCTAAAACAGTAGTTCCTTATTGCAAAATGTAATCCAGTTGTCTGTTGTATTTAGTCACCAAGTTTTCAAAAAGGAATCAAAATTTGTTGATTCCCAAGAAACGATATTTCGAGCAACACTTTAAAGAGAAACGGCCATCAGAAACTCGAAAAAATGAACGTTCTTTTCGGAAAAATGTGATTTCGAGAAACTTTCTAACAGGATACGACTGTATCACCCATTGCTTCAAGAGTATTTAATAATTTTTGTTTTTCTCTTTGCCTTTTTCAGGTGCAACATTACATTTTCGTAGTCCAGGCTCAGGACACCGGGAAGCCAAGCCTGTCGTCCACTCTGACGGTGTACTTCAACGTTCTCGATCTGAACGACAATGCCCCTCTATTCGACCCGATGAGCTACAGCAACGAAGTTTTTGAAAATGCAACCATCGGCACCAGTATTGTTACCGTAACGGCTACCGACCTTGATTCTGGTAAGCATTGCGTTTATTATTACCTCCTTCTTATCTGTCAGTAAAATTTTTTTTCATTTTAGAAACCGCAGATATTCTCCTCCTCATATGGCACAGTAGTTTCCGTTTACAAATGACATTCATCGAACTTGATTCCATTGGAAATTCTGCGTTGCATCGGTTTTCCTAAGAGCGAATATTCAATCGATGCTTTCTGGGACTCGAGAATCGAGATACACGCTTACGTCAGAGGAGCGACGAACACTGCTGTGCTAAGGAAGAACGTCGTATGAACTTTCTAGAGTTGCCAAACCTCTCTTGATAAAGCATGTATTTCTGATATCATTCGTGCATGCATATTCTTCTTTGAAATTTTCAGATATTTTAGATTAAATTGCGTAAAAAATTGTCTGAAAACTTTGGAAAAAAACATTCACAATTTTCCCAGTAAACTCGGTTTTTATCGAAGGAAACTCGGCAACGCCTGAAAGCTCATACGGCGTTTTTCCTTAGCACGGCAGTAAAGTTCGTCGCTCCTTTGTAAGGGCGTACCTCGATCTCCACGTGAGCCCTGTTTCACACATAAATCCATGCTCTCTGGGACTCATGCGGAAATGAAGGTACGCGCTTTTGTCGGAGGGGCGACGAACAGTGGGAGTGGGATGCGTCTTGAAGATGACAGAGGACGAGCGACGAGGGGCCCGCCGGCCCGGGTCGATCCCGTTCGCATCTCTTGGCGTCGGCGTATGTCGTCGTCCTCTCTTGGCCGGGGTCGGCCTTTGCCGTTGGCCTGCGTCTTGCCTTGCCGTTTGCCCGCGCGGCTGAAAGCGCCCAAGCTCGAGAAGCTCGGGTACCAGGTACCGCCTGAAATACGAGCCCCGAGCCAGTAATCCAACCCATTTTCACCCGAGTTCCATTCCCAGGGCCCGCTTTGTCCGAGGATTACTCCTGCCTTTGCGCCTCCCGCCGCACGTCGCTCCTCGTTGACTCCTCTCCTGTCCACTCCCTTGCGGTCGGTTTCGATGCCAACAGGATGGGCGGCTCTCCTCAAGAGTCAGCCACTGGCGCGGAACCCATTAGCGAAATCGCTTAATCCACGGTAAACCACAGAAAATCGAATTTAATTGAGAAGAGGCTGTCCGTAGATTACGTGACACTAAGTTCTCTGGGGTTTCCACACAAGACCAAAACGTTTCGGCTGAAAATTCAGACATCCTCAGTTGGATAGATAAAAATGAAAATGGTTAAAAATCTAAAATAGACTGTAAGTACCTTTCATTTCATTTTATCGTATATCTTGTCACGGACTGCGAAGCATCCTATCGTATCTCATTTCTGGGTTTTCGCACCCCCAACCCTCCTTTCCAAAGTTCCATGCCGAGAAGTCGATCCAGACCCCCCCCCTCCCCCACATCCAATGCAATTTTCAAGTTTACCCCATTTACATTTTTGTACTTTTTTTAAAAAACAATTGCACTTCAGAATATCGCGTGGCCCTGGCAATTACAGTCGCGACGAGTAAGGTTGTAAAACCAAACAGTTATTGCTGCCGTCCTAGGGAAAAACTTGAACTATGAACTTTTAGGCGTTGCCGAATTTCCTTCGATAAAACGCGAATTTCCTGATAAACTTTTGGATATTTTTCAGATCATTTGGTTCACAATTTCACCAGAAGCTCCTGAAAATTTAAAGGAAAAATATTCGTAGCGTTCCCCAGAAATAAACATTTTATCGGAGGAAATTTGGCAACTCTTGATTGCTGCCGTGCTAAGGAAGAACGCCGTATGAACTTTCGAGAGTTGCCAAATTTCCTTCGATAAAATATTTATTTTTGCGGAAGGTTATGAATATTTTTCCTTGGAATTTTCAGGAGCTTCGGGTAAAATTGCGGACAAAGTCATCTGAAAAATTGGGAGGAAAATATTCATAAGTTTACCAGGAAATTAGCGTTTTATCGAAGGAAATTTGGCAACGCCTGAAGGTTCATGCGGCGTTTTTCCTTAGCACGGCAGATTCGCCAAGTAACTTGTGATGCTTCTTTTCTTGCGCCATATAGTGGTCCATTTGATTCAATCGACACCTTCCCCTCCGGAGAGTCCCCATAGTGACGTCACATGTGAATCAATCTATAAACTTCGGAATCGCTTGGCTCTTACTCGAGTGCCGTGAAGAGGGTAGGCTCACCAAGGGGGATGGAGATGAACCAACAGGTGGAACAGGTGGCGCACGCTGCCATGTCGAGTCCGGGAGTGCAGCACGATGCGAAGCGGGTGCGCGACGTCTTAATTTGTCAGATTGTGCCCTAAAATTGTCACATTTTACCTTGCGAAAACAATCGTGATGTCAGCTAAAGGTTTACTTGAACACGGTGGCAGAAGTTCGTGACGCCATGCTCAACCAAAAATCACAATGTGAATTTCAAAAGTGCTCAATACCAAATTGCAAAAGTCCAAAATACGGGGGAAAAGTCTACGATTTGAAAAACTTTAAGGTGAGTGAAAACCGTAGAAGCAACTCCGGCATGATTTTTTTCTTTCGTATTTTCAAATTTTTGTTGAGGCAAATGCAAATCTTCGCAATTCCTTGCAAGAGCGTATTTCCAAAAGTACACTGTTGAATTTTCTCTCCAGATCGACTTATCGTGATATGTTAAGGACCTCCTCAAACCTCCCTTAATCACAATGTGAGCCGTATGAGGTTTTGTAAGGAAAGGAGCTGGAGCTGTTTATGATACGACTATGAATACACCCCTTTGCACGTATCTGATGTCAGATTAGCTAGATTCCCTTCATTAAGAGTTGAGACAACGTGGCTCATGGATGTCTCAAGCGGGAATAAAGATTACACGAAGAGGACGTTTTTTGTAATCTTTGATCAATCCATTACCTAATTCCTATCTTTGTTCCCTCTCTCATGCCATTTTTTCCTTGCCGTACCCCCAATTAAATCAGTGAGAACGAAAACACACCAACTCAGTAACTCTAAAATGCTCAACTTCCATTAAAGACAGTTAATTTACATAAAGGTCGTTTAAGATAGCGCATCTGTTCCAACTTGGACCTTCAAAGTGTCCATAAGTATTTGACTTTCGGCAGCAAAAATATTTTTCTTAAAGTCCGTTCTTCACCTACTGTGCAGTTTTGTGTGTATCTTGATTATTTCCATTTTTCCGAGTTCGTGTGTTTTCGTTCTCTATGATTCAATTCCCCGGTCCATTCCAGTTTATAATCTTTGCCATCGATCATAACGTAACCTTTATTCCCGTATGCGACACTATGAAGGCCTAAAATACGGTAACCAATCAGAAATGGATTCGCATTGTCTTTACTCTCAGTATAAAGGGATTCTTGGGTTATAGCAAGATTGGCAGGACGATGCGGCAACGACGGGGGTGCCCTACTCCCGGATCCGGGATTCGCGGGCCTCGCCTCTTACTCTTACAAATGCAGATAAATAGTGGCTCACGAATAAAATATTCGAGCCCGCAATAAGTCGCGCGAGGCATGGCGCGAGGATTTATTAAGATGTTAAGTGGCGACGCGCGTGCGCAACGCACTTGTCGTCCGCGCATAACAGCACATCCTCTCGGACGAATTTCCCGCCACCACGGATCGGGGCACGAAGCCCCCCCCCCCCCCCCCCCCCCCCCCCCCCCCCCNCCGAACCCCGTAGCCACCATCCTCGCGCCGACCGGTGACCCCCGATGCCCAAGTTCTCGCATGCTTCTCCCTTCAAGGGTAACCTATAATAAACGCGAATATTCCAGTGAGAAGAGACATTCTGCTGGCCTCTCAGTTAAAAAAAAAAGTCGCTTGGATCCAGACCAGAGTCCAGATACTTAACATTGACAAGAAAAAATACTCCTTATTCAATCCGATTTTTCCTCGAATTGAAGCGAATTGAAGAGCCGAGCCTCTTGATTCATGCGGATTTCCCTTTGATTCAAGCAAATAGTCCGATTGACTCAAGAGTATTTGTTCTTGTCAATGTGCGCCAAACGACTTTTTTTTCCAGTGCTCGGCGACAGGTGGAAGCTTCGGGGATTCATTACCTTCTCATTGACAACTATAAGGGAGCAAACAAGATGTCATTTCCCAAACTTTAGCTCTTTTCACATGCCGAAAATAGAAACTACGAATGGAGGTTATCAACGCATCAATGAATGGTGCCGTGAGATTCCGCGTTTGCGCGGTCCGCGCAATTTCCAGCAACTGACGATGAGTCGAGACTCAACAGCAATCAGTTTTTTTCAACAGTTCCGATAATGTGAGGGCAAATTTGAATAAAAAAAATTGGAAATAAACGAAAAAACGACTATTGATCAACGACCATGTAACCTCATTTTCTGCTCCTATTTTCAACGTGTGAAGTGCATTTTTGGTTTGATTTACAGACGAAATTCTCAACACGTTGTTAAACATCCACCAAGTAGGAAGTTGGTAGGTCAACAGTTGAATGTCGGAGTCCTGATTGTGAAAGCTTCCACCATTGCCAAGATACCAGCGGAGGGCTCCTTGTCTCTGTGATATTCGCATCGCCGAAAACGGATTTGCCCTGGTCGTTCAAAATCACGTGTATCTCGCACGTCAAATAGATTGCATTTTGCAGTAAGGAACCACTATCTCTAACTCTTTCATAAAAGCACATATCTGCATAGGGGAACCAATGGCATGTATGTTGTTTTTAAAATGGGCCCAGAAATAGTGGTTCCTTATTGCAAAAAGTAATCCAAATGTAGTTGGTATTCAGCACTCGCTGTAACCACGGCAACCATGCCCCAACGCGCGTCAAGTACCGGTTTCCGCAGCACCTCTTATCAATAGAAAAGACAAGGCCAGAAATAAAAGAGACATCAGCGCTAACTGGGGCATGAAAAAGCGCAAGCTCACTTGTAACTTGGATGATGAGACGACGGCCCTACAGATTGACGTACGTTCATTGCTCTCTTGTGGGAAATCGGACGTACGACACATTTATTGGTTGTACCAAGAGATCAGGAGGACTTACACCCTCCTCGATCCAGAACCACGTGCGCGAGACAGGCGAATGTGAAACAGCCTTCGAAGTCCATCGGCGAAGAAAGTACTGCCGTCATAAGGAGGAATGCCCTAAGAACACTTGACGGTTGCCAAATTTCCCCTGATTAAAAATTTTTTCTGGGAAACAGTAGGAATATTCTTCCTTGAAATTTTCAGGTGCCATATATCGTACCCTCCGGCCAAGGTATCACAAGTACTATGCATGCGACGTTTCACAATTACCGCCGCCATTTTGTTTTTTTACAGAGAACCGTCGGTTGAATCTGTATGAAAATTTCACTGAATTTCATCGGCAGCACAAAGAAAATTCAGTGAAACTTTCAGACAGCTTCGTTTAACACTTTGTCAGTAAAAAAATAGAATGGTGGCGGAAATTTTCAAACGTCACATGGCGCTTGTGATACTTTGGCCGGGAGGTGACGTTTTTTGCACCTGAAAATTTCAAGGAAGAATATTCCTACTGTTTCCTAGAAAACATTTTAATCAGGGGAAATTTGGCAACCGTCAAATGTTCTTAGGGCGTTCCTCCCTATGACGGCATTACTTGCTTCGCCGATGGACTTTGCAGGCTGTTTCACATTTGCCGGTGACGATATATGAAATTTCAATCAAAATTCTCCTTGAAAATTAGGAGAAAATTATTCACAAGTTTCTCTAATAATTTGTATCTCTTCGAAAGAAATTTGGCAACATCTGGAGGTTCATAGGGCGTTCTTCCTTAGCGCGGGGCGGCAGAGTACGGGATCGTCGGAGTATAAGATCACCGCGTCAACACATAATGGGAACGCGAAGCGGGATCGCGAACAAGTGTGAAAACGCTTGTATAATGAATAAAAAATTGCGATATATTTTATTGTTGCCCATAAATACTCGATTATACATAAAAGGACGCGCGACGGAACGGGAAATATTCGAACAGATGAACGGATCGTCATATATTATACCCGCGATTGGATCGAGCCGACGGACGCTTGGCCGCCTGGCCTCTTCGCGCGTGACAACCGCGACAAAAGCGCCATCTCGCGGGAATTTTCGCAGTTACGTATTCTTACGTTAATCTGGGCTTTTCAAAGGCCACCGCGTGATGTTTCACTCGGGCTCGATGATCTTGATTGCCCGGCGGAGCGTTGTCAACTTTACACCCGTGAAAGTCAGTCGTACCAGTCGAGTCGTGTTTTCATAATTTATTGAGATTCATTGTAGATTAGCAAACGATTATATGATTTAGGTTTATTACAGGAAGTCTGCAACGTCGCAAACTGAGATATTTGTTCCTGCAGTTTCGCCGTCGATACTTTTTCCGTTGGGCCCCGAAGCACCGAACGGTCATAAGATCAATCGCTTCTTTTTATATCCGGGCGTTCAAGTCTCCAAATCTGCCAAGCTGAGCAAAAGACGCGATTTTTTGTATACTTGTCATCAGAGATACACGGGCGTTTTTGTACCTAAGTGGTTTTGTAATAATTACAACCGCCTACATTATTTTACGAGTTCACCGAAAACTTCTTTTCCCCAATAAATAAAACCACGTGTTCGTGGAAAACTCAATGAATGTATGCACGAGTTAAGAACACAGACCCATTTAAAGAGGGAAGTAAGAAGTGTGTGGGAAAAAACGGTCGAAGGGAAGTAAGTTTATTCGGCAACAACTAGGTTTCGCCAAACACCACTTAAAAATAAGTTAAACGCCACTTATACCCTTGTTTCCCATACGATAGGACGTAACTACATCTTAATGTTGCCAAATTTCCCCGAGGATATTTTACATTTACAGAAAGAATTTAAGCATTTCTAATTGAAAATTTCACTGACTTTTCTTCTGATCTTTCGCTAAAATCAGGTAAATTTTGAACAAAAATTACACAGGTATATTCTTGTAAAAAATTGGTTGGCTCGAGTCAGTTTTCCAACGTTGGAATTGAGTTACGTTCTTTCGTCCGGGAACGACGATATGATGTAGGTATTCAGTTGCGGTCAGCTCTGGCGTCAAGAGTCAGAGGCGGGGAACGGTTAACAGGGGTCAAAGAGGGAGGACCCCAAGACCGCCGCTGCGCCACCAGTTGACTTGAGAACGTCCAAAGAGAGAGAGGAAAAAATGGAGGAGGATGAGGGAAACGTTTGGCTTTGGATCACTGCGTTTTATTTTTTCTCCCTGAACAATTCGTCGCTTGCCCGACATGAGGGCGTAACTACGCATAAGATGAGCCCGGAAAAACATCGTATTCTATGGAAAATAGGGCTCATTGCAGAGTGTAGTTACGCCCTTATGTCAGGTAGGCGACGAATTAATCCGAGGAATGCTGCTTCTTGATACAACTCGATACCTCACGATAGGTGGGCCAGCAGTGGCGCGGCGTGCTTTGCGATACATTGATGGAGCTGCCATTTAAACCTATGGAAAAGGATCGATAAACAGGGTGTTCCCTAATAATCGATTCTTTACAATAGCTTCAAATGGGAAAATATCGATAATCGATCTTTCACGCTTCGCCAATGTGGGCCAGGTGCACAAGTGCAGAGGGTTGGAGCGTAAAATACCTTAATAGGGTTTCTGGTGGGAGGCGGAATATGGGCCGGGGTGGAGAGGGGAGGCGGGCGAAAAGAGCAGGTAATCTCTCTGTCCCTTCATATTATGTTACTCACCAATGATATTCGACTCAACGATTGCGCAAAGCACCCACACCCCTCCTCCTCCACCTGTCTCCTCAGTCCTCGGAGCTCCGTGTTGAGGAATAGCGCCGTATGAACCTTTGAATGTTGCCGAATTTTCCCTGGTAAAATATTTCATTTTTAATAGTTTTTAAAAATATTTTAATTTGAAAGTTCCCCGGACACTGGGTCAAATCAACGAGAAAATTCTCTGAAAATCTCAATGGATTTAATATTCAGAAACCTTACTAAAATTAACTATTTTATCTGTGAAAATGTGGCAATATTCGAAGGTTTATACGGTGTTCTGTCTCGGAATGGTAGAGCTTTGATGCAGGATATTTTTCACGTATTTTATTTTACGCGCGTAGGCGTTTTTTCCATCAAAAACCATCAAAAAAATCCATCAAAAATGCAATCAAATTCCATCAAAAATCTTTCCCTTTTTGCGTAAACCTCTTCCATACGTGCAGATTTCCGTCTCATGTCTTCGGTCGCTCCTGAACTTTTTGAAGAACTCTTCACTTGGTTTACTATACTTATCGACCTCAACAAATGTAAGAAAGAAACAGTAACGAAAGTGAGATTTATTTTACCAACCAGCTCATAGTTTATTTTAACACCGCGGACAGCTAAACATTCTAAATCTCTGAGAAAATATAGAAAGTTCTCGGCTGCGTATTTACCCAGGCTCTTATCGTTTATTTACACAAAACGGGTCGGGTACTGCGTCATGGAATGTAATCTTGCATGAAATCCGAAGCCGTAATCACGAAATATGTCAAATTATTTCCAGGAGGAAAACTGTGAGGGCCTTTTGTGATATTTTTAATGACTTCAAGAAATTCCGACTAGCTCGGTGGCGCCTACCTGCTATCACGACTTCCAAATGAATGATCCCGGAGTCAGAGACAAAGACGCTTTATTTTCACTATAATATTGTCTTGATTTCCCTGCGTGTTCTTTGTCAATGTTTTTTTTTTTTAATTTTTAGCCTTATTTTACCTTGTTTGTGTCGTTGTTTATTTTTTATTCGTCATCTCATCTTAAAAGCAGAGCAATCAGAGCATCTCTATACTTTCATACGATGGAGGTATAAACCATAGGCGGATCCAGAAATTTCGAATGGGGGAGGGGGGAGGAGGGCTTGAGGAAGGTCAGGGGGCTCCCTTCAGAAAATTGTCAAAATTTTAAAGCGTATGAAAAGCATATTTAAAGCTGTTTTAGTCAATTTCGTCATGAATAATTACCACTTATAAGCGTCTTTCCCTCTTCTTTTCACCGTTGCTTATTCCTTCTTTCTTTCTTTCATTTTTCTTCCTTCTTATCTTAGGGCAAATGGAGGGGGCGTTCGCCTTCTACGTTCCCTTACAATCCGCCCGTGATAATTAAGAACTGCCGTGTATCCTCTCCAAATTTGCCATATTTCTTATTGCAAAACAATACATTTTGGAGAAACTTGAGAAATATTTCGTTGTTCCGTCCAGAGGATTTGATTTGCAGTTTAATCTCAAGGAAAAACCATTATGCAGCGGCGTCAAGTGCTTTGCGATTTATCGATTGATCTGCCATTTAAACCTATGGAAAAGGATCGATAAACAGGGTGTTCGCAACGAACACCTTAATAATAAATTCCTCACCACGGCTTCAAGTCGGGAAATCGATCATTCACGCCTCACCCCTGCAATTATAACTTTTTTTTTTTTTTTAAATATATATTTCGTCGAGGAATTTTGGCAACGTTCATACGTACACACGGCATTTTTCTTAGCATGGTAGTTTACCTTAGCCCTTTTAATACTTCATTTCGATGAGCTAGCTCTGCACTGTTTTTTCTCACCAGATGGAAACTGAGTCCGTTATTTAATTTATCTCTTGACTCGAGGGCCGGTTACTTTTCAAATTGTGTTTATTTTCCGATTTTTGTTTCAGGGGATAACGGGCGTTTGGAGTACAGCATAAGTTCCGGCGACGACGAGGGAGACCTTTGGATCGACCCCAACAACGGGACCATCGTGACCCAGCGACTTTTGGACCGCGAGGTGAAATCCCTCTACAATCTCGTCGTCGTAGTCTCGGATCAGGCCAAACCTCCCCAACAGAGACTATCTTCCTCCGTCCAGGTACTTTAATTTGATCTTATTTTGCATCTTAAATGAAAATGTGAGGAAATTTAAGAGCCCTCTGTAGTGATAATACTCCAAAATAATCCTCTTTACTTTTCTATCTCAGCGTTAAAGTCTCCAGCGCGTTGCACGTTCCAGTTGAATCAAATGCAGCTAAAAGATACTCGAGGAAAGCACAAGTACTTTTCTCAAGAATTTTTTTTAAAAGTTATTCCTTTGCCCTACTGTAGTGGTTATTTTTCAAAATGATCCTCTCTATTAGTCTTCCTCCGCGTTAAAGTCCCTAGCGCGTGCACGTTCCAGTCGAATCAAATCCTGCAGCGAAGAGAACCTTGCGGAAAACAGGAGCGCTTTTATCACCAACTTTTTTTTAAAGAATTTTACTTTTGCAAAACCGGTAAAATTCCGCACTACAATATGAGCAAATATTTCATTTTGGGACAACACAGCACGGTGAAGTGAAAAAGAATGAAGGATCTCTGAAAATCAGCGCACAGGTGACGGATGAGAACTTTTACCCTCCTTCAATCAGGGATTCAAAATTGCTCTATGGATCCGTTGGACCAATTAGAAACCACAGTTTCTAGATAGTTGTAGATACATCATATGTGCCATTAGTTTCCCTTTGTAAATATGTATTTTTATGCATGATCCGGAAATTTTAGTCCCTAATTGTAAAATGTTGTCCAGTCATAATAGCGAGGAAAACTCGGAGCAGATTCAGGGAAAAGTTTATAGCAGAACTGTTGTGTTGTTATTTACAACTAGAGAACTATACACTGGAAAAAAACACATTGGATCTAGAGTCCAGACTCTTAAAAACATTGACAAGAAAACGTACTCTTGATTCAATCAGAATCTAGCTTAAATCAAGAACCAAGCCTCTAAATTTAAGCGGATTTCGTTTTGATTCAAGCAAAAATCCGATTGAATCAAGAGTATTTTTTCTTGCCAATGTTTTCAAGAGTCTGGACTTTAGATCCAATGTGTTTTTTTTTCCAGAGTAATACATTACACAATCTTAGCAGCATCGGAAGTCTCATACGCCCTTTTACCAAAAAATGCTTCAATTGCTAAGATAGCATTGGAAGAGGGGGGAGGGGCGTTCTAATTTGTCTCCGGTACTACCGGACTTGCCTCCTCCTCAGCGTGCAGGAGGACTTTTACAAGACGCGAGAGCCGGGATGCGAGGTGGGCAAAATCAATTTACTCGGCCGAGTGATTGATGACCGTCCGGGGAAAATGGAAACGTATCCAGGGAGCTCGAGTTTTCCGCAGTTTCGGCTGCGAGGGGCCCCGGCTCCCGGGTCGTGACAGGGGCAATAAATCCGATAATCTATTACGTGGCGATTCGAAAGACCGCTCGCTCGGCGCGACCGCGACGCCGGACGGCGACTCGAGCCCCTCGCTGGGCGCGAGTCATCCGACGCAAGCTCGTAAAGTCATGCCTCCCTTTAAAATTCTTAATTTAGAGAATAATTTTCAAGTTTGCGCGTTGTAAACTTTGAGCGACTCGCTGCTTACACGGCTCGAGGCGCGGGGAAGTGACTATATTAGATAGCGGGTGTCAAACGTCCCCGGGTTCTCGGGGCCGCGGCGGCCGCCGTCCGGTCGCCCCGCGCCAAACGTGACTACATCGAGCGGATGCCTTTAATTTATGCGGAGTTTTGTCGTCCCGGTAACGACTGCTCTCAATCACGACAATCTGGATCGAGTTTTTCTTTTTTTTTTCCCCCCTCGCCGCACATTGGATCGAGTCAGTAGGAGAGGTCGGACACTGAAAAAAAAATCTCGGTGTATTTACTAAGGAAAGGGTAAAATTACCAAGAATTCAGGGTTTTATTTGATCCCAGTTTTTTCTTGGTAAAATGACCATTTATGGAATTGGTAATTTTACCGGGAAATCTCGGTAAAATCATCGAACTTCCTCGGTAATTTTACTGGACCTTGGTAAAAACGCCAATATTTTTTATCGACTGTGGTAGAATTACCGAGATAAAATAGCAAGGTTACCGGGAATTGATTACCAATAAAAGTGGTATTCTTACCTGAAAAAACAGCAAAAATACCGGTTTTTAGGTAAGCTCACCAGTCTGTCTTGGTAAAATTACCAATAATTGGTAAAAAAAAGTGAGATGGTAAAGGTACCAACGGACCTTATGGTAAAAACGCCAAGAATTTTTTTCAGTGGACAAGTTTTGGAAACTTTAAACGCTTATAGCTCCGTTTATGTAAAGCTTTGAGGTTCCGAAAGTGGTTTCATTGGTTTTTTCGTGAAATTTTCTTCCAGGAGCACCCCTAAAAATTTAAAATGCGACGAAATAAACATATAAATTTGCAATTTTAGTCAAAAACTTTGTGTCCGACCTCTCTAATTGACTCGATCCACCGTGCGCCGGAACGTGATGTAGCTCGCTGCAGGTCCCGTGGCGTGGCCGTGGCTAATTCCGATCAATAGAAATAGCAATCGCAGCCTGGCATAAAACATCCCGCAAAATAGGTACACGCTTTTTTCCGCCCTTTTTTACGATGTGTGCAGCGGGAGCGGAACTTAAATCTTATTTAAATTTGTGGAAGCTTTTATGCCTTTATGTTTTATTATTTGGACGTATTCATCCCAAAAGGAACTATCTTACGCGCAAACTCTATGAACTTAGTTCTTTTTAGCATAAACGCGTCCATTTGAACTGCGCGCGGTCCGCCGCGCATGGGACCCGGGTCGCCGGCGAATCAAGAGGCGGCTATAATTCACGACCGCGTGTACTTAATATTTAATATTATGCAAAATTCACAGTAGGTAAGTAAGCACATGTCCGTCGGGCACCTCCCCCTCCCGCGCGCCCCCCCCCCGGGGGGGGAGGGGGGCTCCCGGGCCCGGGTTCCACCCTTCCCGATCTCGTCAGTCCTGTGTCCTCGACGCCGGGTTTTTTTCCCCTCTTGTTCTTCTTCCCTTTTTTCCGCTGCAGTTCCCTGCATCCTCGCCCTCCTCCCCGCCTCCGCGCCGAGATTGTATGTTAAGATGTGATTAAATTATATTTCATGTTCATGCCTCACGTGAACTTGAGACTGGCAAGAAGAAAAAAGGCGCTTTTAATTTGTCTCGTCGCTCAGTGTGAGGTGACCGCGCCGCGGTCGAAACGACGCGGCGTGCCACGACGCGATCCGCCCGGCTCGGGCGAAACCACGTATGTCAGGCGAGTTTTCGTTTGAGATGCGTGGTTTTTGCTCGGCGGGAGTTCGGCATGGGATCCTGTCCCGCGACTTCCCGGTTCCTTGTACGTTCATTCGGTCACCTGTCGCCCGTCCTCCGGTGTGAGTGTGCCCTCTGCCCTAGGTTCCTGTCTCACAAATTCCTTTCCTCCAATTTATACGAACAATTATCCCTTGACTGTTTTTTATAACCAATTAGGGGCTTGAGTGCAAAGTCCCAACACCTTGACTTTCCGCTAAAACTTACTGATGATTTTACCACCTCGGGAGGAAAAACCAGGAACTGCGAGAGGGTATGTACCCACTCGGATGGGCTATCAATCAATCGAAGTATCACTTCTGGTCAACAGAGGGTGAGATAGTGCATCAATGTTTTTAAAGCCTAAAAAGGACATTTTTTTCATTTTCGAGTAGAATTTTATAATATAACTTCGGAAATAGAGCTTTGGAAGGGATTTCGATGACTTACCACGACGCAAAATACAAAGTGCGAAAGAAAATATTTTGCGATTTCTGTGAATTTTAAGGTAGGTTTGCTTGCACCTATCTCGATGTTTGCAAAATCATATCATTAATTCTTTCGTAGTACGTACTTCTTGCAGTGGCAAATCAATGCAATCCCTTTGATGCAATCCCCTTGATAAGCTTTGAATTTTCAAAGCTTATACTGCTGAATGTTACTCAAAGTTGACAAAATTGGCCTCCCTGTTGCTACTTTGAGAATTACCTTCAACCTAACAATATTACAATAACTAATAAGGCCTCCGTAAGGAAGAAGGTGTTTAAGGAACGGCTATGAATACGACCCTAAGAGGAAGGTCACAAATTGATCGCTGGAGTCCCAAAAGAAAAATCCACCACCCCTATGAAGATACCAGAGGAGGGTTCTTTTGTCGTCCTCCTCACGAGAGAACATGACTACATTTCAATGTTGCCAAGATTTCCCCTTGCAAATAGCGTTTTTACTCGGAGAATCTTGGGCTTTTCGAGTGAAAATTTCACTGGCATTTCTTGTGATCTCATGCAAAAACCAAAGAAATTTTAGACACAAATTGCTCACAATCAGATACACTGGAAAAGAAAACACATTGGATCTAGAGTCCAGACTCTTGAGAGCATTGACAAGAAAAAGGACTCTTGATTCAATCAGGTTTAAGCTTAAATCTGATTGAATCAAAAGTATTTTTTCTTGTCGATATTTTTAAGAGTCTGGACTCTAGATCCAATGTGTTTTTTTTTTTTTTTCCAGTGTACATTCTCGCAAGAAATTGAATATTTTCATTGAATTTTGCAACCTTGGAATAAAGTTACGTTCCCTCGTGCGAGAAACGACGCTTTGTTCCTAGCTCTAGCTAATTCTTTTGTTTACGCGTGAACTTTTTACTAATGGTCATGGCGGATCTGTTGCAGGTGACGATTCTTCTGAAGGACGTGAACGACAAAGCGCCGGAGTTCATCACCCCGAACGAGACGGCCGTGTTGGAGAACATCCCGATCAACACGGTGGTGCTGGCCGTGAAGGCCATCGACAAAGACGAGGGACGCAACAGCTACGTGGAGTACTCGCTGCTCCCGGAGGGCTCGGCCCAAGGGATCTTCTCCCTGGGCCCCGTGGACGGGCTCCTCCGGGTCTCCGGGCGGCTGGACCGGGAGTCCCGGGCCAACTACACCCTCGAGATCCGCGCCAAGGACCGCGGCGACCCGCCCAAGTCCACCCGCACCAAGATCCTCGTCCGGGTCCTCGACGAGAACGACAACAGCCCCGTCTTCGACCCCAAGCAGTATTCCGCCTCCATCGCCGAGAACGCCAGTATCGGCGCCAGCGTTCTTCAGGTAAGTCCAACATATTTTCATAGTTTAAGTAACATTTATAAATTGAACTAGAGTCCCTTTATACTGAGAGTCAAGACAATGCGAATCCATTTCTGATTGGTTAACCGGATTTTAAGCCTTCACAGTGTCACGAACGGGAATAAAGATAACATTTTCACCAATTGCAAAGATTATAATCTGGAATGGACCGAGGAATTTCGGGTTCGACAAGGAACAAACGGAATGAGAGAAGGAACGGTGAAAGGAATTTAAGAATGAGCCGATCAAAGATTACGAAAAACGTTCAATTTGTGTAATCTTTATTCCCGTTTGTGACTCCATGAGGGGTGTTGTCTTGACTCTCAGTATAAGGGGACTCTAAATTGAACCAGTGAGGACGAAAACACACCAACTCGGAAAAATGAAAATAATCAAGACACACAGAAAGCTGCTCAGAAGGTGAAGAAGTTGGTCTAAGAAAAATATCTTCGGTGCCGAAAGACAAGTACTTCAGGGCATTTTAAAGGTCCAAGATGGAACAGATGCGCTAACTTCAATGGCCTTTATAAAAACTGACTGTCCTCAATGAAAATGTAAAATTTTTGAGTTATCGAATTGGTGTGTTTTCGTTCTCACTGATTAAATTATGTAACGCACTTTTTTGGCATTTTTGACCCCCTGCCCCTCACCCTTGTGACGGTTTTTAACACAACCCCAAACCCACCTTTAATAATCATATTTCAGAGTGATCGACGAACCATTTAAGATCCCGAAAACATGGAAACAGTTGACTATACAGGGTTGCCACAGTCGGGGAATACCGGGAAAACCGGGAAATATCAAGGGATTTTAGAAAGTCAGGGAAAACCTGGACATGTCAGAGAAAATTATGAAAATGTCAAGGAAAAATCATTAAATCGCTTTTGTTTGCTCTCCAGAATGGGTTTGAGATGTCGAACAACACATTTTGTCTGAAAACTATTTCAATTATGTCCTCTTAACCACCCCTGTCATATTTTCAGTTGTCAAGAAATTTTACCGAAATGTGTCAGGGACTTCAGGGAAATGTCAGGGAATTTAATTTTCTAATTTCTTTGGCAACCGTGAATGTATGGCTAGATAAAAATTGAAGTATTTTTAATGATAGCATGACTACTAACGTCGAAGAAATAAGGATAATACATTTTGTATTATCTGCATTTTTACCCATAGAGAGGGTTACGTATGATTGGTACTGCCCCCCCCCCCTTTGTAACGCAGCGTAACCCCGTCCTCTTCTAGAGTGTTGCGTATTTTATGAACGTTCCCCTAGAATCAAAGTTTCCGGGGAAGCTAATGTAGTCGGAAAAACAAAGTTGGGAAAATGCTATGCAACTTTCACAAGGGCGATCGCAGTCACTCATAAATCATCGTTTCCAAGATGTAGGAACGCACCTTCGTTCTGACGTTGTCAAATTAACCTAAAACATTCAATTTTTTAGACTTTCCTTATTACATTTTGCCATCTAATCTGGGATACCTGAAAAATTTCAAGTGTAAATATTTATCGGTATCCTCTAAGCGATTTATTTCATCCGAAGGCATATGGCAACATTTAAATGTTCTCGCTCACCGCGGCAGTGAGATTAGGAGTTCGACGAGGAATAGCATCTCACGGTCACGGCTGAACGGCCTCTGCGAGCGGGGTACGGGGGGAAGGGCTCGAGACGGGGGATGATGGAAAAGTGGAGGGGGCTGTAATACATTTTTCATCTCGGCCGATACTCGAAATACCTTCATATCAAAGTGGAAATGTGGACACGGCCGGGAGTATTTAATCTCCCGTGCTCCCAAAGTGATTGAAATGTCATTTACCATCCAGCGGGGTTTGATTGGCTCTCCGAAAAGCGAGCGAGGGTGGGGGAGGGAAACACGGGTACCTGCCGCGATAATGCGTGTGTGTACGTGCCGCTGCCTATGTGCGCGTAGATACATTTACAGGTTGCACATTAGGACGTATTTACGCTAAAAGGAACTATGTTCATAGGGCTTGTGCGCGACATAGTTCCTTCTAGCATAAATGCGTCCATTAGACGCTCGGACGGTTAATAAACTGAGGAGAGTAGGTGCCCGACGGAAGACAGCCGGATGTCAGATTACAGTCAGATTACTCGCCGAGATAATGTAATCAACGTTGTGGTAAAGAGGATTGGAGCCAGCGTATCTGGGGCTTACCGGCGTCCTCCCCTCAGAAATCCGGAGATGACCGAGCAACACGGCCAATCGGAGATTTGCGCTCCGATGTCAAGCTCCGAACCTCCGTAAGCCTAGATGTAAAAACTCTAAAAAAAAAATCCGGGCCCAGAGTGTCACAGTTCCTTCGCGAAAGAGCGTAACTACATTTCAATGCTGCCAAATTTCCCCCTGTATGTTGCATTTTTACCCTAAAAATATTGGGCGTTTCACATTGAGAATCTTGCTGATTTTTCTTCCGAACTTGAGCAACAATCGGAAAAAGTTTTGATGAAAATAGCACGCGTACGTGCCTGTAAACAATTGAATGGTTTAAGTCAATTTTGCAACCTTGTAATGAAGTTACGTTCCTTCGTCTAGAAAACGACGAGCTCGTCACCAGAGGCAATAAGATTTCTCGGATCATGAAGTCACAAACCGTCGCAAAGAGTGCATAGTTCTTACAGTTTTGAATAGTCCTCGATCGACCTAACGCATTCCCATAAATTTTTCTCCCTTCATTTCCCATTCCGATTGTTCCTTGTCGCACCCAGCATTTCAAATGACGTTTTCTGCATATATTTTAGTGAAGCCCTGCTTTTCGATGTTATGGGAATATCCATAATTACAGTATCATAAATCGTTGAGACTTGTTTAGAATAACAGGGTTATTGCACCAAAATCGTCAGGTAGACTTTTATATAACTTCCTAAGAGTCAATATTTGCAGACAACACTAGATACGAATCCTTGGGTATAGACAATCTCGCCTCTACTGCACGGAGGATTCCTTTTGGTCTACCTCGGAAATTAGAGGCGAGTTGCGATCTGCGTGTGTCAATTGAGTCATAAAGTGTCAATTCATCTTCCCCGAGATTTTCAGTCCAGAAACGCCTCTGTAAATTTTCTGATACATTCCTTTATCAAATGTTTACGACTCTTGAAAACGTAACTTTTGTGACGGTTGTAGCTCCATGCTGCCGTACTAAGGAAATTCGCAGTACGAACACTCGAGATTTGCCAAATTTCTCTTGATAAAACATGTATTTTTCACAACATTCATGCATATTTTTTCTTGAAATTTTCGGATATTTTACATTAAATTGCGTGAAAAATTGTCTGCAATTTTTGGAAAATAATATTCACAATTTTCCCAGTAATTTCGACTTTTATCGGAGGAAACTTGGCAACGTCTGAAGGCTCATACGGTGTTCTTCCTTAGCACGGCAGCCTGGGAGCCATCCAGGAACAGATTCCACTTGTCTTAATCTCTGTACTAAGAGTCTCAAGTCCAAGACGACTGAGCCAATCAGAAATGGATCCTCCAGTCCAGTGTCATCCGTACTCTCCCTATTAAGGCACTCCGGGTAAAGCAACAGAAGTGCAAGGAAGACGCGGTAATGGCGGAAAGAAAGAGGGAGAGGGCGGGACAAGGGGGAGAGGGAGGGAAAGGAGGGGGTAGGAGGGGACGAAAAGAAGGAACGGAGCTTTTAAAATCCGCGAGTTGAATTGGCGTCCGCGTGGAACTCGAAGCCGGGAAACGACGAAGCGAGTACCGGATTGAAATGTCAAAAAGGCTGCTTACACGCGTTCCCACGTAGACTGCCGTGCTAAGGAAAAACGCCGTATACTCAACACAGCGTTGTCAAATTTCCCATTGTAAATTGTCATTTTTGAAGGAAGTTTTGAATATTTCTCCCTATAATTTGCAGATATTTTAGATTAAATTGCGAAAAGAACCGTCTAAAAAATCGGGCGAAAAATATTTCCAAGTTTCCGTGGGAATTTGTGTTTTATGGAAGGAAATTTGGCAATGTGCGGAGGGTGATACGGCGTTGGAAGTGAGACTCGGTCCGGGAGTCCGGCCGGGGCTCAGACGGGGCTCGGAGTAAGACACGATTGGTTTGGCCGATTGCTGATTGGCCTCTTAATTACCAACAGCTTTTTGATATGCGCCTCAGCTTTCAGCCGTGGCAACATTTGTTATTGGCTGATAACGAAAACATGTTGCCACTCGCTGTGGATCTGGGCGTGTTGGCCTTTGCGTTTCACACTTGCGGTGTCTGCGGAGACGCGGGGACGCTAACGCACTAGCCTCCTCCGCATTTCTCCCCTGGATGTCTCCATGAGGCGTGGAGAGGACAATTGGACGCATTTCTTCGCCCGGCTGACGAAAGGACGTAACTACACATTGAGATGAGCCCGGGAAAGCGTTAAAGTGTAAGGATAATAGAGCTCATTGCAGAGTGAAGTCGCGCCTTCATGCCAGGAGGGCGACGATTTGACCAGAATTAGCCAAACTCATTTTCTCCCCGCTTAATTTACTCTTGAATTTTTCGTATGGCGAAAAATCTCAAACCGCAATGCTGGCTCGGCCTTTTATGAAATATATTTGCATAGCGAACATTTTGAAATATCGCAAACGAAATGCGCACTCATCCTTTTCCCCCTCGATATGTCTCCGATGAAAACTCTATGAAAATCGCAGTTTCCGTCCGGGTTCGTAGATTCGGAGACTTGAACGCCCGAATAGAAAAATACACGAATGAGCTAGGGCATCATCGTGGTCTGTTAGAAAACCGCGTTTCTCTACCAGAAATTATGTGAAACACCGTGGTTTTTGCGCATCTCAGCAAATTCGGAGACTTGTGCGCTCGGATATAAAAACAAGCGAGCATTCAAACGTTGCCTTTCTTTTCGTAACATAATTATTTCTGAGGAATGTTATGGATTATTTTGTGTTGACATTGTCAGATACGTTACATTAAATCTTTCCCGGCACATTGAAAAAAAAAATGACGGGCTACAAACATACCGTCCGTTCCGGGCTCAGAGGCCGAAACTTCCGGGCTAGCTTAGATTGCTCCAGTTGCTACGCCCGGAATTTCCCGACTCTCAGCTCGGAACTTGGACGGTATGTCTATATAGCCAGTAAGTACGGCTTCCACGGCCGGAGTTTTTTTTCAGTGCAGAAAAACCTTATTTTATCATAATAAAGTGAGCAACATCGGAGTGTTCCTGGGGTGTTTTTCCTCTCGGTGGCAGTGAAATGGTTGAAAACGTTACTGTTATTGGATATTATTGGATATTAATGAGGTCGCCGGAAGGAGACGGCGTGGATGTCCTGTGAAAGGTTGGCGACCAGGAGTGGAGAAGAAGATCAGAAGGTGCCAATTGCCTGTCGGCCGCTGGGAGGATAGGGGGCAGTGGCGATTGGGCGTCGCAGAGCGCGAGGCTGCGCTGGGAAAGCGACTTTATGTATGTGTATTAATGAGGTACCAGACAGCTTGCCTGGTATGGTCATGTCAATAGAATGACGGACGAAAGGCTGCCAAAGCAGTTGCTTGATTGGGTTCCTCCTGGGAGGAGACGAAGGGGACGCCCAGTGAAAGGGTGGCGGCAGGGGGTTTTAGAAGAAATGAGGGTTTGCCAACTCCCTGAAGGGCTTTGGGAGGATAGGGGACTTTGGCGGCTAGGGGTCGCAGAGCGCCAAAGAGCGCTATAAAAGCGGCTTTATACATACATACATACATTAATGAGGTTTTGTATTGTTGCAGGTGTCAGCAACGGACGAGGACGAAGGGATCAACGGTCGCGTGCGCTACGCCATCGTGGCCGGCGACGAGAACCGGGACTTCATAATCAGCGAGGACACGGGGGTGGTGCGCGTGGCGAAGAACCTCAACTTCGAGCGGAAAAGCCGCTACGTCCTGACGGTGCGCGCCGAGGACTGCGCCGGCAACTCAGAGGACTCGGTCCGCCACGACACGGCCTCCATCGCCATCTCCATCTCGGACATCAACGACAACCCGCCCACCTTCCTCGACTCCCCGTACCTGGCCTACGTCATGGAGAACGTCATCCCCTCGCCGAGCGGCCACGTCCTCACCGTCGCCGCCTTCGACGCCGACACGCAGCCCTTCAACGCCCAGGTCCGCTACTTCCTCAAGGAGGGCGACGCCGACCTCTTCCGCATCAACGCCTCCTCCGGCGAGATCACCCTCCTCAGGGCCCTCGACCGGGAGAAGCAGTCCGAGTACATCCTCACCCTCGTTGCCATGGATACCGGTGAGTACATAACCTAAATTTCACTTAGCATGCGCTTCCAACAGAGAGAAGAGACCCTCCTCTCCATTCAACAATTCCTTATGGACAAGTATAAGGGAGCAACAGTCATCACCCTAATTTTGACTGTTGACCTACCTACACGATGGATGATGAGCTTCGGGTGACGTCATGAGCCAAACAAGTCTCCCAAACTTCGGCCATTTTCGGCCTGTTTGCAAAACAAAACTGCCAACATGTTGTTGAGTATCAACCATGTGGTAAGTCAATAGTAGAATGCTGAAGTCCCAGAAGTAAAAGCTTCCACCATGGCCAAGATACTAATGGAAGGTCTCTTGTCTCTGTTCCAACCAACCATACCTTTGGAATCACTGACTGATGCTGGAATGCTGCATGGAAATCCGTTGATTTATTTTCGTTAAACTCGGTCCACATTATGTCAGCAGCCTGAAATTCGTCATTTTCAAACGAAGGAACGTATTTCTATTTCATGTTTACCAGAGTGACTAAAGAGATATATTTTTCATCGAAGAAAATGCTCAAGCAATAATGAAGATGCTGCATGTGTGAGGAATTTGCGATTTGACCATAGATTCTTATGTAAATGTTCGCGAGAAACACGATGGTGCGCCATTGGTTGTCTCTGAAATCAACTCCCAAGCTCAAAAAAGCTCTCAAGTTGAAGCCAAAATGAAGAGATGTCCTACGCTGTCCTGAGAGTCCACCTCTACATTAAGATAAACGCTCCATGCAAAGATAGGGAGCAAATACATTAGCAGGGTTGCCGTGATTTCAGTTTTAGAGTCCTCCAAATTAGCAGCCCTGTCAATGTATTTGCTCCATATCTTTGCATGAAGAGATTGTCTTGATGTAGAGGTGGACTCTCAGGACAGCGTAGGACATCTCTTCATTTTGGCTTCAACTTGAGAGCTTTTTTGAGCTTGGGAGTTGATTTCAGAGAAAACCAGTGGCACCATCGTGTCTCTCGCGAACTTTTACACAAGAATCAATAGTCAAATCACAAATCCTTCACACTTGCAACATCTCCATTATCCGAAATGTTACCGAGTTTTGCCTGTGATCACCTGTGAGGAGAACACTTATTATTGCGTCACTCATTCATTGTTGCGTGCACTTACGTGGTGGCACTGATTCTCCCGGGGTTATGGACCTAAATCTCGGATTTTTCCTCGCGTCGTTTTCCCCGTACGACCGGAGCCCGGGCGACTTCCAAGTTATCAGTCCGTGTTCGGGTTCAACGTACCTGCCAAATTCTCTCGGTTGTCATTTTCGGTCCAACCGCATTCCTAATTAATGATGTCGCCTCTCGTCCGACATGTTAATGGTCCGCCTATCGGAACTTGCGCCGTTGCCGGAAAAAATCTCCTATTTTCGAATTTCACGCTCGGAGACAAAGACCACCGGAGGAAAAGGAAGAAGGAGGAATACAAGGAGGAAAAGGAAGGACAAATCAAAATTTAAACACCTTACAGACGTTTCCTCGTGTAAAGTAGATGTTGAGTATTTTTGAGCGTTTTTGACGTGTCCTGTGTAAAATTGTGATAGAAAGGCGTATATCCTGGTAATTAAATGTTTATTCTTTCGAGAGACACTCTAGAGCGAACAATAGGATGCACCGATGTATGCTAAAAATGACTGTCTGCATGAATAAATTGAATAAAAAAGAACCGTGAAGTACGCAAATTCAATGCGCCAAATTGTTTTCTTTTAACGAACTCAAATATGGTTTTTAAGCATGAATATGTCGAATATAGTTCAAATTTTTGAGCTCGAAAATACACCTACTTTAATTTTTTTTAAACATTAACGAAATAATATTTCGATAACTGACTTAGTCCATTTAAGAGTATGCGATCTTTCTTTTTTCACCATAACTCTTTTTTCTCGGACATCTAATTTTTCAATCCCCTCTTGTTTGTATTCTTCCCAGTCACAATTATTATTCAAATCAAACGAAGATATGACAACATCCTATAGTTGGACAGATTTAGCTTGTTTGTCACGTTGCAGGCGTCGAAACTTGGTGAATTCGGTGTGAACAAGTCCATTTTGCCTCCCAAAAATCGAAAACGTGTCCATCAGTCGAAAAACCATTAATCATCGTGGCGATTTCAAAGCTGTTATGATGACCTTAAAATAACCCCGACGAAAGGGAACAAAACTCGATGCGGCTGCACCCTTCGACACAAAAGTTGATCCGTTTGCTGCCAATCGATATAGAATTGATCCATTCACAGCCAATCGATATAGAATTGATCCATTCACAGCCAATCGATATAGAATTGATCCATTCTCAGCCAATAGATATACAATTGATCCATTCACAGCCAATCGATATAGAATTGATCCATTCACAGCCAATCGATATACAATTGATCCATTCACAGCCAATCGATATAGAATTGATTCATCCACTGCCAATCGATGGTTACGATGACCGTCTCGATACGGATTAATTATGATACTCGTCTACGGATCAATTTTGAGTGTGGTGGATGAAAATGAAACCCATTTAAGTACGCATTGAAACTTTCCTTTTTGCGCAGCAGATGACTATCTCCGGAATCATGTGCAGTTAATTAACAAAATTACAGTCTTGCAAATGCCGTGGGAGGCAGCTAGGTCAAATCTCGTGATATCTCGAAACGGAAAAAGTTAGTTATGAACTTTCCGCCACAATTTTGTCTCCGTCTGCAGAAGGCGAGTTGGACCCGGTGAGCGATCGATCGTCGAACTCGGCGGCCGCGGCCGTCTCGTCGCACGGTACCGTACGCGTACGGTTCGCGGTGCCTTCTTCCGCGTAATTATGGTCACTCGTAGAAATTGACATTGCCTCGGTTCCCTTATAAGTCACTTAAACGTACTCATTACACCGTTCACTTTCGTATGTACTCGCACTCCCTCACACGAACTCACGCAGACGCACCGCGGGCCCGGCGTACAGTGGATCGAGTCGATAGGAGAGGTCGGACAACATTTTCAAACTTTAAACGCTCAGAACTCCGTTTATACAACACGTTGAGGTTATAAAAATGATTTCATTGATTCTCTAGTAAAATTTTCTTCAAGAAGCACCCCTTGAAATTTAAAATGCGACGAAACACTCATCAAAATTTGCAGGACTAGGCTAAAATTTCTTGTCCGACCTCTCTAATTGGCTCGACCCACTGTGCGGCGCACCGGCCTTCATAACGTCGCTTCTCTGACGTAAGGGCTCATCTCTGCTTCCGGATGAGCCTCGAAAATCATATAGTTATACGGAGTGTAGGGCTCACGTGAAAATGAAGATACGTCTTTACGTTAGAGGGGCGACGAAGGATCCCCGCTTGTACGCAACGACAAAGAAACATGGCGCATGCCTCGTCGAACGGACATGAGATCCAAACGAGCGGTAAAACCACGCACTTCGATGCCAATTCTCCTTGACTGACAGCAGGAGCAGATACTTCCGTCAGGTCTTCGCCGAGGAGACTGCAATGGAACTCGCCGTTTCAGAACAAGGAATCATATAATAATTCTAACTTTCGTGTTACTCTCATTGCATAGTCATCGGAATGAAGGAGCACANTGATCCATTCTCAGCCAATAGATATACAATTGATCCATTCACAGCCAATCGATATAGAATTGATTCATCCACTGCCAATCGATGGTTACGATGACCGTCTCGATACGGATTAATTATGATACTCGTCTACGGATCAATTTTGAGTGTGGTGGATGAAAATGAAACCCATTTAAGTACGCATTGAAACTTTCCTTTTTGCGCAGCACACTGAGAAAAAACTATGGTTTATAAACCTATTAGAGGTAAATATGGAACACCTATAATAGTCGTAAATAAACTAATGATTCTCGGTCTGTGAACCATACTAAGGTATTTGTACCTAATTAAGGTACCCCGTACCATAACTAAGGTATATGTGCTATTATTATATGTAGAGGTACTACTATTAGTGGTGTTCCATATTTACCTCTAATAGGTTTATAAGCCATAGTTTTTTCTCAGTGCAGATGACTATCTCCGGAATCATGTGCAGTTAATTAACAAAATTACAGTCTTGCAAATGCCGTGGGAGGCAGCTAGGTCAAATCTCGTGATATCTCGAAACGGAAATTAGTTACGAACTTTCCGCCACAATTTTGTCTCCGTCCGCGGAAGGCGAGTTGGACCCGGTAAGCGATCGATCGTCGAACTCGGCTGCCGTCTCGTCGCACGGTACCGTACGCGTACGGTTCGCGGTGCCTTCTTCCGCGTAATTATGGTCACTCGCAGAAATTGACATTGCCTCGGTTCCCTTATAAGTCACTTAAACGCACTTATTACACCGTTCACTTTCGTATGCACTCGCATTCCCTCACACGAACTCACACAGACGCACCGCGGGCCCGGCGCACAGTGGATCGAGTCGATAGGAGAGGTCGGACAACATTTTCAAACTTTAAACGCTCAGAACTCCGTTTATACAACACGTTGAGGTTCTAAAAATGATTTCATTGATTCTCTAGTAAAATTTTCTTCAAGAAGCACCCCTTGAAATTTAAAATGCGACGAAACACTCATCAAAATTTGCAGGACTAGGCTAAAATTTCTTGTCCGACCTCTCTAATTGGCTCGATCCACTGTGCGGCGCACCGGCCTTCATAACGTCGCCCCTCTGACGTGAGGGCTCATCTCTGCTTCCGGATGAGCCTCGAAAATCATAGAGTTATACGGAGTGTAGGGCTCACGTGAAAATGAAGATACGTCTTTACGTTAGAGGGGCGACGAAGGATCCCCGCTTGTACGCAACGACAAAGAAACATGGCGCATGCCTCGTCGAACGGACATGAGATCCAAACGAGCGGTAAAACCACGCACTTCGATGCCAATTCTCCTTGACTGACAGCAGGAGCAGGTACTTCCGTCAGGTCTTCGCCGAGGAGACTGCAATGGAACTCGCCGTTTCAGAACAAGGAATCATATAATAATTCTAACTTTC